GCTCTTCCTCTCTCTTACGTTTTTTTTTTTTAAACTAGTGACACCCCCCCCCCCACACACACACACATTAATTTAAACTAAAAAAAATAAAACCCCCCAAAAAATAAAAAGTAAAATCGCAACATAAAAGATACAATATATTCAACATCTTTTAATGAACCGCATCTTTGAGTAAAATAAAATATTTTTGTAAGAGCCTTAAGAGCTAATCTCTTCTAAAATGCCGTTAAATGCGGCCAGTGGACTACTTTGTCGCGTCTTTTACATTCTACAGTGTGGAGCACTTACAGCTTGTGAAGCCCAGGGCTTTAATTTTGCCGTCCTCAATCAACGAAAACCACAATGCATACAAATAACATGTATGCTTATAAAGTTGACCGAAAATGCCACCGCAAAATAAGTGTCGCTTTAGGCGAACCGCCCCCTCTTCTAACGCCTGTTGTATTATTTTTACGGCATATTTAATAAACTATATGTTTGTAGGGCAAAAATATTTTAAAATCGTCTTTATTGATGGAACTGGAATTAAAAGCAAATAATTATTGCGGCATTCAAAAATGCACAAGCTTTCAAACCCCGAAACAGTTTGACGAAATCCCGCCACAGAAAAAAACAACAACATTCATTCGATCATAATTTTGCCGTTCCCAAAACCGCAGTCAGACCAAGCCCCACCTCCCTTACCTCCTCTGCAGCAGAGCCAGTCTCACTAGCCCGCCCTCTCCCCTTATTCGTTCCGTTTTTTCCTCCCTTTCTTTTTTTCTTTCTCTCTTTTTTCCCCCGCATTACCTCCCTTTCTGCATCTAATCATTGCATGAGGAACAGGGGGGTAGTTTTGGGCGAAATTAATTTTTTTTTTCGTATTAATGTCAACAAATTCGATTTTCATGAATTTCAAACGCAGGTAAGCAAAGTATTCAATGTTTGAATGTTCGGCGTGAGTTCGGTAACTCGTGAAGGAATCTGATTGTGTTAAATGCAATAACAGTTCAGTTCCCCCTTCCCCCCTGTACACGGTTCAAACGCGTTGTCGGCCATTTTCTCGTCCTCGACATTATTTGGAATCTGCAGACAAACTTGCTGTTTGAGTGAATCACGATGTTTCTCTCGGCTATTATGAAATGTAAGGACTATTATCACTTTAACACGTTATTTTGTTGAGAAAATTCAGTTTGATGCACATTTTAGACAAACATTTAAACATATTGTAGTGCCCGCGAGACAGCTCGATACCCCCCAGCGACTCATGACGTCACATTATCACAACGAACCATAATCGTGTTATTTATCATAGCCATTTCTTATGATTTTATTCTTAAATTGTCTTCCCTGAATCGTTTCGAGAGTAAAAAAAAATTATCTTGTCCAGTTTTAAAATTTAATATAATATTTTATAATTACAGATTGAAGGTCAGCAAACAAATCCACCTGTTTAAGCAATGTAAAATGAGATACGCTGCAATTACTACCAATATAAATAGGCCTAAGTAATAGAATAAAAATGCAACACTAGGCCCCCAACACTACTCACTTAACTAACTCACTATAATAGTACAGTATAGTCACTATCTAGTAAAGTTATACTACTACTACTACACTACAGTGAGTGACTACACTACACACTACTCACACATGCCTATAACGCCTCTTGAGTCTTAAAATTTTTAAGTTAAACTAAAGTAAATTCCTAAAATGCCATGGAATCTCATCATTGCACAAAATGATTTAGTTTTAGAAATCTAGATCAATTAATTTTATCATTATATATAAGTTATTTTCAGATGCCATTGAATATGTGAAGAGCATTACTGCTCTGTTACATTCAAGTGGTCATAAACAATTTTAAATGTGGTGTTCATAGATCAAACTGCTATGAATGATAATAAATCTTTAAAATTAAATTGATTAAAAATTATAAAATATTTGCATCCAAAATAAAAAAAACATTAAGTCTTTAAAAATGTATAACCTAACAAGGAACACAATTTTTCCCCCCTCATGTTTTTTCCAGAGATGTCCGAGTCAGAATGTGGCGCAATCTGCGTACGCAAAGATGTCATGGACAAGTTCAATGTAATTATGGAAGAGACCAAGCTGGATGCTAATGAACTAATGGAGCATTTTTTTGGACTTTATAACTGGTAGAAAAATTATACATTGCATGCTTGAAGCTTAGTTTTTTTAAAATAAAATATTCACGATCATAGATAAATGATGTTCAAATCTAACACCATTAAAAAATATTATTTTTGTAATTTAAAAAGATTTCAAGCCTAAGAATTTGTAACTGATAGCTTTCTAAAATTTAATTGACCAAATATGTTTTTAAAAAGTTTTAGACAAGAATTTTGCATTGAAAAGAATGGAAAATGCTAATAGATGAAATATAGTGAAACCAAATAATTTGGAAACTTGCATCACTTTTGATGATTAATCTAATCATACGTTTGCTATATCACATGTTTGCGAAAAGATACCCAAATTCAGCAGTCCGTGATCCCCTCTCAGTTCCCTCAGTTTCTTAGTATGACACAGAAGACAGTGGAGTCAGTTAAGCACTGGATGACAATAAACAAGCTCAAATTAAACGATGAAAAGACTGAGCTGATCCCCATTGCTACCGCTCAGAAGCTAAAATCCATAAATAACACACCATCCCTTACTCTCTCAGGTGTGCAGATTGAGTTAGCTCAAACAGTGTGAAACCTGGATGTCTACTTAGACAGAACACTAACTATGGAAATCACATTAACATGCTTTGCAAGGCGATTTTTCTAGAGCTGCACAGAATTAGTCATATCAGACTTTCTTTAACGTTTGAAGCATTAAAGAGGCTGATGTCTGCGTTCGTGCTATCACGCATGGTATACTGCAATGCTCTCATAGTGGGTCTTCCGGCTACGCTCCTGGATAAAATTCAAAGAGCACAGAATAATGCGGCTCGCATTGTTCTGCGCAAACGCAAATTTGACCTTGCTAAAACACGTCTGAGAAGCTGCATTGGCGGCCGGTCCGAGCTCGCATAGAGTAAAAAATTGCAACTCTGTGCTACCGCTGCTTGCATGACCTTGCGCTGGCCTATCTCAATGCTCTCCTGACGCCTTACGTACGCACTAGATCACTTCATTCATCCGATTGTGACAAACTCTGGATACAGCGTGTTCGCCTTGTGACATACAGAAGGCTCACTTTCGCTTTTGCTGGTTCAAAAATCTGGAAAGCCCTTACTGTCACTCTCAGAAATAGCGAGACACTGCAGTCTTTCAAAACTGAGTTGAAAATACATCTTTTTTGCACTCACCTGTTGAGGTGATATAGACTACCTCATTTTTTCCAGCCTGCTCATATTCCTTGATGTATTTTGGCTTGTATGTAGATTTTTTATTGTTGCGTTTCGTTTTTTAATGTGGAAAAAATATAAATTGTCATATATGGTTGACTTTGTACCACGCTTTGAGCCTTAATTAGGGATGAAGAGTGTTTTTGAAATGAACTTTATTTTTTATTTTTATCATTAGCTCAAATTGGCTGATGAGGATGTGTCTGAGTGTGACCCCCCCCTTTTAGATAAGTTATATCATTTATGTATGGCACCCTGGTGATGTGTATTTTCCATGAAATAAATCTATATTTCAAACATTTTATCTATATTATCTATTTCCCTTCTAAAATATTTAATAATGTCTTTTTGCCCAAATTCTTGAATTGTGTGACTGACTGTGAGGAGAAATGTTAATTTTTTACATGAGAGGGGAATGGTGAGTAGGCATCACCCTTTTGTGAATGTTCAGGAAATTATAATATAAAGAGAGGAGATTTAAGTTATGGCTATAAGTAAGTATATTATGATTAGTCTATTCCCTATAGCTCTCTTAGGCTACTGGTACCATAAATAAGTGTCCAATGCTTTGTCTATTCCTTAGCTGTGTTAAGCTTGTTCACCCTAACAAATCTATGATCCCAAACCCTGGTGCAGGACTGACTCCACAAATCAGCGCAGCCCAACTTGTGCAGTTGCAGCAGCACCACCAACAACAGCAGCACAGACAAATGTAAGCCCCTCCAGATTTGATTAAGTAAACCCCCTTCATGCTGTCAGAGCATAGAAAAAATGTAAGTTCATTCAGATTTGATTAGGTAAGCCCTGGCATGCTGTTTGCGGCATAGACCATTATATACTGTAAGTTGAAATGAATAACAGATTATGTAGTCATAAAATAAAAATAATTATGTGATTATCACTTTTACAGCAAAGTGCAACATGAATATGATTTTTCTCAGTATGTGTTATGTGGCAGTTGTACTGTGGTTGACACAGTTTGGAAGTTATAAATTAAGTCTCTGGTCATAGCAGAAGTTGACACTTAACAAGTGTCGAACAAGAGGAGCTTGTGATTAGGAAAAGTTGACATTTTTTTTTAATGTTGACATTTTGAGGTATTCACAGAATGAGTTTTAAAATAAAAAAGATGTTTTCAGTTTGGTAGCCTGAAAAAATGTAAAAAAAATGTTGGTCCTCAGCCTGGAGAGAAGGAGAAACTTATTGCAGAGTTGTTCATTTCAGGAATAATAAACTCAAACTTTCTTATTGGACCAAATGGAACATTGTCCATTTTTGGAATAAAAATCTGTAATTTACTTACTATCAAAACATCCTCATTGTTACCATCATCATTATCACCCTATTTATTGTTCTTGCCATGCAAATTTTTTTTGCATCTAAATTTAAGCAGTCTTGTTTTTTAAAAATTTATTTCTGATAAAAAAATGTATTAAAAGAAATAAAATATCTAATTGACATATAGACTAATCAAAAATATTTTACAGAAAGCAAACAAACTAAAATTAAATTTCCTTTTTTTTTTCTGTTTATTTTAGAATTTAAAGAATATCTAATTTTTAAAAATAATTTCTGGTTGTTCTTCATAGCTACAAATATTCAGAAATGACAACATTCTATATACACCTTTTCAGTAATTCTGAAGTGAAAACAGAGAATGATGATTTTATCCCTGTGGGTATGACCTTCAGCAATAACTTAAACAACAGCATGGCTGACAGCAGTAGTAGCAGTAAGAACTCTTCGATTAGTGAAAATGATGAGGTTACATGTGTGGGTGTGTCTCAGATCGGAGGAGATTGTAGCGTTGAAGACAAGGTAGAGTTATCTTTTACCTGTTTAAACAAATAAAATTTATAGATAAAAACTAACAATTTAAATGATGTTTATTGGCAATCATCAGCTAGTTGGTTAAAATTCTTTCCGGGTGATGTAGTTAGGGTAAAAAAACAGGTATAATGGACTAGTCATCCCAGTAAGGCAAATAGCCCTTATTAAAAATCTCCCCTGGAAACTGACCAGGGCCCATATACCTTCATAATGTCGCCATTCCAGGACTATCTTTTGACACAAATCACAGCACATGTACTATGCCAAAATAAATCCAGAATGGAAAAAAAACCATACAAACTTAAGCATGTGGCATCTATAGTGTTTTCTTATGCATGATTGCCATCATTTATACATTTATTAAATACATTTTGTCAAACCCAAAAATTTTATATTGTTTTTCATGAGTGTTAAAATTAACTTGCTGGTTATAATAAACAGCGTTACCAAATTAAATTAACCAAACAATAAAATAGAATATAACTCTTTTACTTAGCTGTTTTAAAATGATTATTATGTCTTTTATAATAATGAGTTTTTTGCTTTCTAATCTGTTCTAGATTCATTTGTTGCAAAGATTAAGAGACCAAGCTAACGCAGCCAACTTTAACAGTAACAACAGCAGTAATCAACACGGAGGCGTGTACCAGCATTACAACTCCTTCACAGGTCAGAATCTTTCACCCTTGTTCTTGTTACTAGCTGTCAGTACATTAATTTAGATGGGAAAAGCACACTGGGACAGGGATAGGGGTGCTGTCTTTTTTTGTGTGTTTTGGTCTGAATGGGTGCTGTCATTTTTGTTGCCCTTCACATACTATATACGCCAGCGGTTCTCAATCTGTGGGTCGCGATCCCTTTGGGGGTGCGTAAGGGTCGTCTAAGCCTATCGGAAAACACATATACTCTACAGTTATGAAGTAGCAACAAAAATAATTCTATGGTTGGGGGTCACCACAACACGAGGAACTGTATTAAATTTGGAAGGTTGAGAACCAATGATATACGGCTTAGGTTTGATGTGCATTCATTCTGGGTTTTTGTTTTAATGAATGAGTGGCAAAAAAGTCTGGTCAGGTGCCCCAAACTCTAGCTCCTCCCCTGAAACAGCATGTCAGACTATCCATATTTTTTAATATATTGTTTCTTGTTGAGCGAATGGAAAGACAAACATTTATCTGCTTCTTCTTCTAAGTCCTACAGCTGCAGCCCTTCTGCATTGCTTATTTAATGTTAAATCTATTTACAGGAATGATGAATACCAGGATACCCCCCATGTTTGACCATTTCTTCCCAATGTCTCTTTTAGGGTCAAGCATGGGTCCCCCGTCGATGGTTCCTCTGGGTAACAACACGGGGTACCAGGGGGAGACTGGGTTACCAAGGAAGAGAAAGAAAAAGCCCAAAAAAGCCAAGCTTTTGTCTTCCCCTGCCCAGGCAGCATCTCTTACAGAGGGAGAAGGTAATAAAGTAGTGCCACACTTTGTGGTCATTTGCTTCATTGAAATTTAAATTGAAATTAGCTGGGGCAAAGCAGCCATGTTGTGCGTATAAAATAAGGGAGGAGGTGCATAATCTATAATAAATCAATAATAATAATTCCAGATGTTGCTCCATAAATCCGCCTATGGTTAGTTGTATTGATTTTATGTAGAGTGGGTAGTGACGGGTACTGAGGCTCAGTTGTATTGATTCTATGTAGAGTGGGTAGTGATGGGTACTGAGGCTCAGTTGTATTGATTCTATGTAGAGTGGGTAGTGATGGGTACTGAGGCTCAGTTGTATTGATTCTATGTAGAGTGGGTAGTGATGGGTACTGAGGCTCAGTTGTATTGATTCTATGTAGAGTGGGTAGTGATGGGTACTGAGGCTCAGTTGTATTGATTCTATGTAGAGTGAGTAGTGATGGGTACTGAGGCTCAGTTGTATTGATTCTATGTAGAGTGGGTAGTGATGGGTACTGATGCTTAGTTGTATTGACTCTATATAGAGTGGGTAGTGACGGTACTGTCAATGAGCTTCACAATTAGTGTACAAATCAATAAGAGTAGGAAGTCAATTACCATCATACCCAAGAGTACCCCGTGACTGTTCAAAACCCTTCCAATACGCGTATGGTACTAAATTAATACCTTAAGTTGATACCAGTCAGAGCTTAGAACTACCTAAAAACCTTAAGTCAGTAAGCAAAATGTAGAGCAACCATGAGTAACTTTTCTTGCTCTTCAGCTATTAAGTAAAAAAATTTAATAATTTTGATGCCAAATTTCAAGGGATTTAATATAATTCAACCAATGTTGCAAATGTTTTACTTCTTAATTCCCATGGGGCGAACAAGATCCACTCTGGAATTAGTATTGTATGTAGATATCCTCAGTGCAAACGGTATATTTATTGTGTGTTGCCTTGTAAAGAAACATTAAAAAAAAATGTCATGCATCTGGTAAGGAGGGAGGTCCATGGATTTGTTTCTATATGCGATAAAAGTGCCTGATTTGGGTTCAAATTTAAAAGAATGTTGGGGGAGGGGGGGTGCTCGTCAATCATCCGATATAGCATGATGTCATTTATGGATGGGCCCTAAGAACAAAAACAAAAAAACTAAACAAATCAATGCATGTTTCTTAATAATTATGAGTAACCTAAAAGTTGAGCATTTGTGTAAAGGAGGATATTTAAACAAAATAATAAAATCTTTAAAAAAAAATTATCTCAATTATATTGTTTTAGAATGTACAAAAATAAAAAAAATTAAAGAAATTATTAGAAGCTTTTCTATTTGAAAATTTGAAAACTCGTAATTTTATTAGGTGCCTTACATCACCTTGTTACTATTCATTCTTTCTCAGACTTGCTGAAGAGTTCAATGTGCTCTCTGTGCCAGGCTGTGTTTGCCAGATTCACTGATCTGCTTGCTCATCACAAAGCTGTACACAACTCCGATACCAACCACCCGCTTCGGTGCCGGGCATGTGGCCGCACCCAGACGTCGGAGGCAGGCCTCATCTACCACCAGGTTTACGTCTGTAAAATGGTGGAGAGGCCGCACCCCTGCCACATCTGTGGTCTCAAATTCCAGAGTGAAGAGATGGTGCTGGTCCACAAATGCAGCGGTTGCCCCAGGAAGAAGTATGCCTGCGAGTTCTGTGATCACTACCGCACAGAGTCCTCAAGTGATTTAGAGAAGCACATGAGGATTCACACAAATGATAAGTGTTACGTATGCAGAGTTTGTGGGTTCTCTACAGCTTGGAAGAAGAACCTGAAAGAGCACATGGTCAAGCACCTGGGCCTGAAGCCTTATGTTTGTGATTTGTGCGGCTACAGCACATCTGACAGACACAACCTCAGGGCCCACCGTCTTAAGCATTATCAGAAGGGGGAGGGCTGTGAGAAGTGCGGGGGTGAGTGCCATTGCAAGCCCCTCGCGATTAAGAAGAGAAAAATGAGCAGCGGCAGTGCCGGTGAGGCTGGGAGCCCTGGTTCCGCTGGGGGCAAAGATCTTGAGTGCCCCTATCCGCAGTGTGTGTACCGCACTAAAATTGAGTACATGATGACCAATCATATGCTCAGGCACCAGGGTATGGCCGAGCACAACCTGAGCAGCCCTGGTGGCAGTGTGAGTAATAACACTGGTGGAAATAATGCTCCTGGTGTAGGTGGGTCTAGTTACCCCAACAACCAGCATAATGGGCAGGAGCAGAATAAGAGCTCTCACCATCGAGGTCAGGGTGTCATGGCAAATAATGGTGTAGGGGGTCAGTATGGGAGTGGCGGGGGTGGGCATCATAACGCCTCTTCCCCAGCCTCGTCCATATCTTCCTCCTCATCTACGATTCCCCCGACCTCTTCAATCCAGTCCAGCCAAAATAACCCCCCATCTCTTGTGTCACAAGCCAATCAGATCCCTATCGAATGGAAGGCATTAGGGCAAGTCCCACCTCCTGGTGTTTGTGGGGTGCTGGCCGGACCTGGCCATTTCACAACTCTCGTTCACCACCAGCAGGTCCCCCTCACCTCTCAGGCCATGACATCGTGGGCCTCCCCTCTCTCCCCACCCACGGTCCCACCCGGTCTGCTTAGCAATCGGGTCAATGTCCAGATGGCTGGTCAGAACATGGTTGCTAGACCCATGCCTGTTTTTCCGAACATGCCGAATTGACAATTCGCTGTACCTACAGAAAGTATATATGTTCAGCAATTGAACTTCTTTTGAACTCTTTCTGTAGTTTGAGCAACAGAACTCACATGATCATCTTCCAAATTGTCAATGACTTGTAGAATTTACCTAATCATCTTTCACACTAGCTGACTAGCTGTGACACAGTTTGCTTATTTATAATAATATAAAAAAACTGAGTGACATAAAAATAAATACAAATTTATATATATATATATACATATATATATATTTAAACTGTGGAATGGACAAAAGGCAGAAGAGGGTTATTACTGAAAAAGAAACAATACAAAAGACAATGACTTGAGTTAGTCAGATGCTGAAAACAAAAAAAAATGGAACTGACAAACTGCGTTGAAGAAATCTTGATGCTGATCTTAAAATTCAAGTATCTTATGATTCAGCCAAGAAACTTATGCTTCAACAACTAGAAGAGGGAAGCATCTGGCAAATAGCACAGATCACATTCTTGTGATTACCACTGTGTTGCCGAATTTCTCTCAGAATCAAAGGTGGATGACAGGATGTTACTGTCAGTTTGGAGCAAAAGCAACTATCTGCTGAATGGGATTGACTTATTGTAAGGGCAGGACATAATGAACTCAATCGGATGTAGCACACCAATATTTTGAAAACCAGCTTTTGTCCGCTATACAGGTAAATATAGTATTGAACTGTTGATAAAAGAAATCAAAGAAATAAATTTAAACAATCTTTGATGCTCCATTGGTTTAACTTAAAGCAATCCATGTCTTAAAATGCAGATAACCAGACAATGTCTTAACCGAGCTGAACCATAAAACACCTAAAAATGGTAGTTCATTTAATGTTCACCATTTTCTCTCTTAAAAAAAAACTACTGAACTCTATCATATGAAACTTTTCTTTCATATATGATGTTTGTGAGTGTTTAAAAAAAACAATGTAATTCAACCCATTCTTAATCAAATCGACTAATTTTTTTCCTTCTAATTTACTTCCCCCCCTCATCCCCTCAAATTTAGCTGTATATATCATATAGTGACATTTGATGAATCATATAATATATGTAAATAGTTATCCTATCTGCTTGAAATATGAAACAAAGCAAATATGTTAAGTATTTTCAGAGGGCATAGGAAATCTATTTTTGATTTATGCTCATAACAAATATGTTTTTAATTTTGTTTTTTATACTATCAAATGAATATGGATGTCGTCTTACCAGAGCACAAATAAATTAAAATTTAATATTTAATATTTTTTGTGCACTTAGGAATCTCAAATAATGTTTAATGGTACTGTAGTTGGCAAATGGTTTTATATTAAGCAATGAGTGGTAAGCATAACCATGTGGTATTGAATGATTCATTTATGTTTTGCTACTGTCTGCAGCTATTTGAAAATTGCGGAGTGGAGTGACCCATGTTTTTTTCGCTTTGTATTAAATTGTATAATCACAAAACAAGACTGTGCCTATTAATGGTATACACTCACCAGAAATGAAATTGAAATAAATCAGAAAAAATGCTAAGTATTTCGTAGTAGTCCACAGTTTTGTTTATGAGAAGCATAAAGCTCGGCTCAACACGTACACGTTTTTGGTTCTTTTTTTTTTTTTTGAGCCGCTATACATTTAGACTGTTAAGCACAATGAAAAGTGTGTTAAAACTCTGCAGTAATGCCTAAAGAGTGTTGTAGCTTCTAAGCTCCTAATTTAAATATTTTTTATAACATTCAGTTTTCAGACAGGTTTTTAAAAAATCTAACAATATAATGGAATATCAACCCTGTTCAATATTATAGTAGTAAGGGGAGAGACTGCAATCAGGTTAGCATAATAGGAAATTAGCAAAACAAAGTATGGGGAAAACCAGAAAAAAGGATCAAAACAAAAATAATGAACATGTCGGCAGGAAGCCTTTGCCAGCAAACAAACAACAGAAAAAACAGAATGAAATTAAAAAATATCACTTAGCTTAAAAGTAGTACCCGATTGAATACTACTTTTCAGCTAAGTGCTATTATTAAATTTAATTCTGTTTTTTCTGTTGCTCTTTCGCTGACAAAGGCTTCCTGCCGACACGTTAGTTGTTTTTTTGCTTTCCTTTTTTCAGGATTTCCCATACTTTGTTTTGCTAATTTCCTGTTCAATATTAACATGCCAAAAAAGATGGTAAAACATTTATGTAATATTGTAAGGAAATAAAAGTAAATCAATACTGATATGTATTTTTATAAGATAAATTTGTAAACGAGAGGAAACCAGCTTAGTAACAATAGAAAACGTAACAATACACACATTTATGAAATAAATGACAGTGCTAAGTGGGGCATATGTGGTAAGTTTGAACATAACTTCAGAAGGCAAACATTGGCTGGCATTGTGTTAATGCTTTGAGAACAATGGATGGCAAGGGCTTAATTTTATATCAAGGATATCCTTTTTCTGTTAATTGTTTTAAAGCTTAGTTTATTTCATTGTTGCTTTGTAATATTTGTATCCCCTTTCTGTTGTTTTTAGTAAGTAAATGCACTTGACATGTAAGGTATACTTAACATATCTGTACATTTTCATTTATGGATTTCTGAATTTTATTGCTTATATTAAGTGCTTCCCCCTTGTGATTTCTGTAGGTATATGGTGCGCAGAATAATTAAGAATTGTGAACTTCTTATTGAAACCAAAAAATGTTTGAATGTCTTAAAGATCTGATTTGTTTCATGGGGATTTTTTGCTTCAAAATTTTGCATGCACCCTTAAAGGTGTATTTTAAAATGATTTGTTTACTACTTGCCTGGCAACATCTGTTGGACAGAATAAGACAAACCATCCCGGACCCCTTGGAACAAAAGTAATGCTTTGAAATAAAATGAAATGGCAAAGTTGGTTATCTAAACTAAACATTAAATATGATTTTATTGTGTTTGAAATTTAAATTGTACTCCTTAAACATATTAATTTCAACATTGATCCGTTTTTTTTTTTTTTAAATTAGAAAATAGGACTAAGTTACTCACCTGTTCATTTGCACCACTTAATACCAGGATGTTGCTAGGTTTATGTATGTATTCTATGATGTACATAGAAATCCAAAAATTTAGTACTGTACATTTATGAGGGTCTCTGTTTGATTCTCTGTTTTAATTCTATGAGAGCCTGTTTGTAAAATAACTTTTTGAATGAATATTAATTTGTAATAATTGTATATAAAATGTTCATTTGGACTTTGTGCGTCTTGCATGTTATGGAAGCCAGAATTAATTACTCACCCAAGTGTGACATGTGATTAATTTCATTTTATTGTAGGAGAATCACCTCGTATAAGTTTTATTGTTATTTGTGAAAAAGCTTATTATTTTTAAAACATACATCTAAAAATTAATGCAAAAATTATTATTAAAAAAATTGTGACAATGCTCATGTATTAGTGTAAAACAACAACAAAATATCCTACATTTTTCACCACTAAACCATGCCAAATCATGTGTCAATATTTGGCATGAAATGTATTTTACACATAGTGATTGATGTTCTTTAAAAAAATAAAAAAATTTGAATCTTCACAAGAAAATTTGGTGGCTTGTAATCTAAATTATCAGTCCTTAAACTTTTAGTGTGAGTGTGAGGAACCACCTTTCTTAACAAAATGTAGGTCACCTAATAATTGTAAGGTTAGGTCAATGATACAAGTGGTATGAATTAAGAACAATAATATTTTTTTTACCAGCCCCTGATATAAGTTTAGCCGACCATTACAGGGGTTTTCAAACTCCAGTTTGAGAACTACTAAATTAAGTGCACTTGTACTTCTTATTTCTTTGGGCATTTTAGCATATTGCTCACAGTTTAAACTCTTCTGTTTTTGGATTTTTGTGAAAAAAAAAATTGTATTTTGTTGCTGTTGATTCATCTGCTTCAGACAAAACTTTGTGCATTTATTTCCTTATTAATATTTTGTAACTCATTTTTAATTTTATGAAACTTAATTATTCTAAATATTATATCATACCTCATTGTTTAATTATTGTAAGAACAATTTAAAAGAAAATGCGATGTTTGAAAACCAATAATAAATGTTATCATTAGGATAGCCCTGTCAGAAAAAAATAAGTGTTATCTTTAGGATAGCTTTGTCAGGAAAAATAAATGTTATCATTAGGATAGCCCTGTCAGAAAATAATGTTAAGAAAATAATGTTATCTTTATGAAAGCCCTGTCAGAAAAAGTAAATAAATGTTTTCTCTTGTCTATGAATCCTGCTGATGCTGTTTACAACAGTAGAAACAGTAAACTGATCATTAGAATATTTTTATTTTGTTTTGCCAAGGCTTTTTTTTTACTATCTCAAGTGTCCATGACTTCAAACCCATTGCCCTGGATATCCAGTATGTATGAGATACGGCAAAAATAAAAAGGTCATTTCTGAAGATATAAAAAAATAAAATGATTAATTCAAACAATAATAAGGCCACTGAATTTCTTTATGCTTAGATAGTGGCATTTTTGTGAACTGTACATTTTACAGTTTCCTTTAGTGTTTATCTAAAGGGAGGTAATGGTGGAGTACATTTAAAACTTCAACTTGCTTGGGCAAGTTTATTGAGATATTGAATGATGAATACAAAATACTTAAAAGATAATTATTAAATGTCGCACATTATTTAAAACTGAAGTATATTGTATCAGCTACCATGCTGAAGATAGCTTTTGAATTGACTGTATTTAAAGTATCACAGATATGTGTGTCAATGAGTGATGACCAAATTAGATTATGATAAACTGTTACAATGTCCACATGTGGGTTTATTTAGCTGGACATTGAATGTAAAGAAAGTTGACAATGCATTTATTTGTTTTATATATGCTTCTTCTTCTAAACTCATTGAATAAATTGCACCTTTCAAAACTTCTGTATTGTTATATCTCATGTAAGTTCATTGCGATCACAATATTTGTACTATTTTGTATTATATTATTAATTTTAAACGGTTATGAAGTGTTGTTTTCAACTTCACATTAATGTATACTTTGGTGTTTGTTAATATACTCTTTATCTATTGTCAATGAATGTCAACTAATAAGGAATTATTTCTTCAGTAAAGTATACCATTAAATAATCATGCTTTATAAAAATATACTATTAAGTTTAAAAATTAAGTTGAGGAAAAAGTGAAATTTTTTACTTGGTCTATATAATAAATACTCATTACATGAAAGAAACATTTACTTGCTGAAAGAATTTATTGATTATGAAAGCCTAAGTAAAGCCGGTATTGAAAAATATTTAGTTCATAAAACATAAAAGTGAATAGTTATACCAAGTTTACTATGATGCCTTTCAGAATTACCTTTAAATCTAACATTAAAAATAAAACCTTCAAAGTTCATTTCTTAATTAATGTCCTGGCTCCTTAGAATGAAAGCATGAATGAAATGAAAGCATTTAAAAGTTAATATTCACTTCATCTTTCTCTGTCCTATACAAATTGCAAACATTTCTCAAAAACATTTCTTTACCAACATCAAAGTTATTGTATCCTGTTCAACTCTTTCTTATGTATACTTTTGGTAAAGCTTTCAATCATGTTGTCGAGGCATATGAACTGTTGGATGATAGACTGGGCTTGTAATGTCAGCTGGAAAAAAATAATTGAATTGTTCAAACAAGTTTTAGTGGTTTTAAGATGGGTTTCTATTAATTGAAACTATTTATCATTATTTCTTATAATGCCAGTTATAAAAGCTTTGTGCCATTGAAAATGGAAATTTTCTCAATGGTTTATATAAATTATAGTTATTTGTTATGTCCATCTGCAATTTAGGAAGCAAAAGAAAAAAACTGATAAGAAATTAGATTGTAATTATGATTTTTTAAAAAATTATAGCTGTATGACATTTTTGTAACATTAAAAAATGTATCATCAAATCTGTATGGATGCTAATTTTTTTTTCTTTAAACTAAAAAGAAAAGTTCAACACTGCTGCCAAATTTTCTATTTACATTAGATATTTTAAAGTTTGATTTGAACAAAAGAATTATATCTTTGTAATTGGGATCATTTCATGTTTTTGATCCATTGCTGACAAGAAGTACTCCAAGAGGTGTATTATGTGGATTACACTTAAGTTTTAATTTTTATGACCGATTCACTTGGTAATCATCAGCTCAGCTGATATTTGTGTTGAAAAGGATCTTGGGATGGAATTGCTGGTCCTGTGTCACAATGTAAATTGTATATAACCCACAGCTTTGACAAGATTTCATTACCTTTTTTTTTGGTTGATCTGTCCACATTTTAAAAAAAACAGATGGCGATCAGAAAGAAAAAAAAAGACTTTGGGGGTGGGGGTGTGTGCACCAGGTTTTACTTTATTTCTATCTTAATTTTACAAAATTGCTTCCATTTGAAATACACGAGGCAGACTTCTTTTTTTTTTCTGTTTCAACTACATTTATCACATGTGTGATTCATGAATTAGTGAATAGATCTATATTTATTTCAATGAAGTATCTTTATTTTGATATGTTATGGTTAGGGAGTTACTGAGAACAATTAAAAAAAAAAAGTGGACAAGAGCACATTCAAAATAATTGTTTTTTTGGTCTCCATTTCCTTCTAATAACAATACAGTGATTGATTGAAATAAACCTTATGTGTATCTGAGGGTGTGGATGCTGTAGATGATAAACATGATGCTAACTCAACATTACAATAATTCATTCATACAGGATAAAAATCGATCAGAAAAAAAAGAGCCAACAGTTTTCAGTATTTCTTTATTTTCTTCTACACCACAAATTGTATGTAGTTTGCACACCTAGTAGACAGACAAGCAGACCAAATTAACTGCCAGAGCAAGCTTTTGGGTTATTTAAAAAAAAAATAATTTCAACACATAACTGTCCAATGGTGGAGCCAGAAAATCAAAT